AAAGTAGAAAACGTTTTGGACGTTCTGCTAGAATGAAAGTAATGAAACTAGAGTAAAGTAGAAAACGTTTTTGACGTTCTTTTAGAATGGAAGTAATGAAACTAGAGTAAAGTAGAAAACGTTTTTGACGTTCTTTTAGAATGGAAGTAATGAAACTAGAGTAAATAGAAAACGTTCTTGACGTTCTGTTAGAGAGAAAGTAATGAAACTAAAGTAAAGTAGAAAACGTTCTTGACGTTCTTTTAGAATGGAAGTAATGAAACTAGAGTAAATAGAAAACGTTCTTGACGTTCTGTTAGAGAGGAAGTAATGAAACTAAAGTAAAGTAGAAAACGTTCTTGACGTTCTGTTAGAATGGAGGTTATGAAACTAGAGTAAGATGTGCAGAGAACTGTGTAGTATTTTAACGACATAAAGTTACTCTATCTTGAAGTAGGTTTTATACGTTATTGGTCCAGTAGTTGATAAGGCACAACTAATAACTAGTTTTCTGTATGCTGGTTCACTTAAATAGAGTCAAAACGTGTTGTATATACGGTCAAGTAATTAGCACATTCATACAGAAAGTCAGATATTACTATTGTTAAATAGTGGAATGGATATTTCGCTATAGTCAAATAATTGGTTTCATCAAGAAAGAGGGGTAATTATTGTAATTAAACACTAGTGTATACAACTAATAAACAATTAAAAAATAATCACATCATTTGTAAATTCGATTAATTATTTCCCTACAGGGTCAATGATTATTCTGTGTATTAATTTACTCATCATTTATTTTATTTTTCAAAATTGGTAATTTTTATCTGCACGCCCTCTGGAATTAGTTTTGTACTAGAGAAGTATTAATTTCTCCTGTAGTTTGGTAATATCTCACAAGTCGGCTAGGAGTTTAACATGTGGATTTACTGATAACAATGTCCTGTTTAACTTTGGTGTTTCTAGTTACTCTATTTGCACCTTAGAATGAACTATCTTTGCAATGTTTTCAATTAACAGCTTACACAGATAAAACATATTTAGAAAACACTGAATTATTTGGTGTGATGATTGTTAACTTGACTAGTCTTTTACAGTTTATTTTCTCTTGAATGATATAATTTGTAAATTCGAGATAATTATTCGATAATCATGAACCTTGTAAAACAATTTTAGATTTCGGGTTAAAACCCTGTATTAACTGTTTCTCAGTCTTGTAAAATAACTTTAGATTTCGGGTTTAAACCCTGAGAGTTTTCTTTTTTTAGGATTTTAGAATTTTTCGGATATTCTTGTTTGTTTTGAGGACGTTAAGCCTAATCAAGTGGATAGGCTCGCTTGATACTTGTAGAATGTTCCATCCTGTTAATTATGCATAATATGCGTTATTTTAAAATTGTTTTTAATCATTACTGCTGTAACGTTTTACAAGATGAAGTTGTATGTTTACTCTAAACTGTGGTGTGATTAGACGAATATTTTACTAACATACTGCGTGTCAAAAACAAACAAACAATGGAAAATCGTGAAAATATAACAAAAGTTTACACTGGTTGTGAGAACTGCATTGCGATGAGTGAAGATGGCGCCGTCTATGAACATGCTCCGTAGATTCGGGACTGTCTAGGGATAAACTCTTCATGCGAAGGGACAACTTCTTGTGCTGAGGGCTATGGGGAGCTGGGAAAAATCACAAGAATTCGATTATGTGGATTGCACTAAAAATAGATTTAGGTTCAACCCATATTAGTAGCTTTTTCTGCAAATGATCCAAAGTTCAACCAGATTTTAGTACTTTATTTAACAAGATCCATCCATATACACATCTTGAGAATAAAATATTCCGAACAAAATTTGACTTCAAGGTTTTGGTTGGTTTAAAAAACAAGAAGAACAAATAATTCTGAAGCAAAGCTTGGAAACTCTGAAATAAAGAAGCTAAATACAGCACTAAAAAAGTAAATTCAAATCAGGTATAATGGAAAACCTAAAAAAACTGTAAACATTTTAGACAGGTGTGAACTGAAACATATGTTATTACAACATGATAAGAACTATGATGACGTATCGTATTAGAACGTGGTGTGAAATATGATGTATAGCAAAATTGTCCAAACTTTTGCGGGCACGGAACACTTTTGAGCTCTAAAACTACCGATGGAAACCTTAAGAAACATTCTTATGTTAGAAATTTAAATCATAAAAAATTACTATCAGAAGAACTTGTTTTTCATTTTGAAGTTTCTTCTTTTAGCCACCGATTCATGGCTAAGTAGTATCAATACTTGAAATCACCGTAATTTTGTAATGTTACGAAATATTCACAAACTCAAGACTACCTTTTTATTTTCTTGAAACACTGCACTTGACTATCACTAGTGACTAACTTACAGCGAGCCATCAATCAGGTTCCGCCCATAAATAAAATAGCGAATGATAAAAGGAATACAGGGTGGTACGATTTATGGGCTGACGAGCTTTTAAGGCATATTTATACTTGGCCTGTTCCTTTACACTCGACTAAGCTTCACAAAATTTTCTCACGCAACCTCCAGATGTATCATACGGAACCCCAGTGTTACGCGGAACACAGTTTGGGAAACGCTTATTTATGATATTGCGGCATCATGTGAACTATGACGTATGGTATTACAACATGGGATGAACTATGATGTGTAGTATTACAGTATGATGTGAACTATAATGTATGATATTACAACATGGTGTGATCTATGATGTATACTATCACAGCACGATATAAACTATGGCTATGTTATTATAACACGATGTGGGCTATGACGTATGGTATTACAACGTGGCGTGAACTATGAAGAATAGTACTGCAACACGGTGTGAACTATGATGTATGGAATTACAACATGATGTGAACTATAACGTCAGGTATTACAACATGGTGTGAACTATGACGTATGTTATTACAACATGTGAACTAGGATTTATGATGAACCACTACGTATTTTTTTAAAACATGGTGAGAACTATGACGTCCAGTGTTACAACATGATACGAAATATTCTATAACTAGTGTTTTTAATTTTAGTGCACGAAAAAAAGAAATATGCATGGTTATTGTTGATGCTATTATTATTACTGTGATTGTTGTTGATGCTATGATTATCAATTGAATATTGTTGTTGATGCTATTATTATCAATGTGATTGTTGTTGATGCTATTGTTATCACTGTGATTGTTGTTGATGCTATTGTTATCACTGTGATTGTTGTTGATGCTATGATTATCAATTGAATATTGTTGTTGATGCTATTGTTATCACTGTGATTGTTGTTGATGCTATGATTATCAATTGAATATTGTTGTTGATGCTATTGTTATCACAGTGATTGTTGTTGATGCTATTGTTATCACTGTGATTGTTGTTGATGCTATGATTATCAATTGAATATTGTTGTTGATGCTATGATTATCAATTGAATATTGTTGTTGATGCTATTATTATCAGTTTGATTGTTGTTGATGCTATGATTATCAATTTGATATTGTTTTTGATGCTATAATTATCAGTTTGATTGTTGTTCATGCCACGATAACCAGTTTGGTTATTGTTGATGCCACGATAATCAGTTTGATTGTTGTTGATGCTATGATTATCAATTTGATATTGTTTTTGATGCTATAATTATCAGTTTGATTGTTGTTGATGCTAGGATTGTCAGTTTGATTGTTGTTGATGATATGATTATCAGGTTTATTGTTGTTGATGCTGTGATTATCAGTTTGATATTGTTGTTGGTGCTATTATTATCAATTTGATATTGTTTTTGATGCTATAATTATCAGTTTGATTGTTGTTGATGCTAGGATTGTCAGTTTGATTGTTGTTGATGATATGATTATCAGGTTTATTGTTGTTGATGCT